TAAAATTTGATCAGGGACAGACATCTTCCAGCTATATTTAACACATGGGGCTGGTGCAAATGATGTCAGGTTTGATCTAATTAATGTAGGTTGTTTAAGTGATTAGTTTACACTACTGTGGTTTTTATGACATATTTCACAAGTCTGATTTTGATGTGGTGGAGGGACGCATTATGGCAAATTATGTGAAGGAAAGAGTTTGGAAGATACAAAGAGCAAAACGGCCTTGATTAAAAAGTCTTGTATTTGGAGTGGGCTAATAAAACAAACCCATAATCCCTGGCTGTATTAGATTATATGCATACAATAGAGATTGTGATGGCGGAATGGAGATAGTGGACACATGCGTCACTAGGAGCGAGTTGGTGGCTACATATATATTATAACCAAAACAATGAGTGAGCGCTAAATAACACAGCTTAGCAGCAACCCTATAAGGGAATCCCTCAAGAACCCTTAGAATAAAACACAAAGAATACAAGGAAAGGGCTGCGCTTAGATAAAACTTTAAAAAATATTAAAAGTCCAGATAAAATCAATGGATAAAAAGAGAAGGTCTTATCTGGCAATGTCCGTAGTGCTTAGTCCGAAACAATAATCTTGCTTTCTATCTTCCTTATGAGCCATCTCATATGCAAGAGATAAAAACAAATACAAAACCAAAATGGTGTAGTATGTCTTGAAGACCCATATTGATAACGCCGATTGGCGAAACGCTTTTATATTGTGTAATGTTATAATTAAAGTATATTTGGTAATCTTTTATTGTACCACTTATCTTTTTATACACATATATTTATTATTATTACCTGGCATTATTCTCTGGACTCCAAGCAATCCTAGGTGGGGATTATTCCACCAACGCAAAATATCAGGAGCAGTTGACCTGCTCCTGTCTTGTGAGTATCCACTTTTATTTTATATTTTATTCTACGTTTTATGCAGAGAACACTATTGGTTGTCTCTTTTTATTCGAGTATCTCCCATACTACGGAAGGAGGAAGCACATGAAGGATAATCATTCCATATACCATAAGCGGGGATCTAAACCGCTGTACGCCCCCTATACCAGAGCAGGTTCTAGCTCTTGGAAATGTGAGTTTGCAATCAAGTTTTATATTTTAATTTCCTTTTCTTCAAGACATACTACACCATTTTGGTTTTGTATTTGTTTTTATCTCTTGCATATGAGACGGCTCATAAGGAAGATAGAAAGCAAGATTATTGTTTTGGACTAAGCACTACGGACATTGCCAGATAAGACCTTCTCTTTTTATCCATTGATTTTATCTGGACTTTTAATATTTTTTTAAAGTTTTATCTAAGCGCAGCCCTTTCCTTGTATTCTTTGTACATATATATTATAATATTATTTATAATATTCTTTAGCCCTGGATCTTTTTGGGATATAGGTGTATGTTTAATTCCATTCTTAGTGCCAGGGCCAGACTGGGAAAAAAATCTCATTCTGGGCATTTAAAGCCAAAGCAGCCCAGTAACAGGGGGGTGTAAAAAGAGGGGGAGTGTCATGTTATCAACAATGACGTGTGCACTAACTCAAAGTGAGCATGTTAGTTTGCTGTCTAGGGCAACTCATACTCAGAGATATGCTGTAGTGTATGTACAGGAGCTACAGCGTGTTTGGATAGTGGCTGTTGTGTGTGTGTGTGTGTGTGTGTGTTTGTGTTTGTGTGTGTGTTTAGGGGGCTTTAGTGTGTATGTACAAGGGCTGTTGTCTGTGTAATGACATAGAGGTTCAGAGTGCAGTAGGGGAAAAAATATTAATATTAATTATTAAAGTAAAATCATTAAAAAAAAGACATAGAAGAAATATGTATCCCCCTCTCCCTTTTGTTAATTCTGTTACCTTTGGCCAAGCTAGATGGGCATCCTGGTGGTCAGTGTTCTCTCTGGCTGGAGGTGGCATAACATAGCTGTGGCTGGTATAGCTGTTGGTCGAGTTTTGGCCATTGCTTCCTCTACCTGCTCAAAATTTTTTTGCCATGGATGTGTTAAGTGTAAGCTAGAGAAGTAGGATATAACTTGACAGGTGCATAATCGCCATATGGGCAGGCAGAATCTAACAAACAAGAGAATCTAACAAACCCCAAGAGAGCCTATTTCCTATCCTTCACCTTCCTATCCCACCGCAGTGACAGAATGGGACTGGTTCCATATAGAGTCACACCCATATAGGTATATATAAATGACCTCTGACCAACTGTGACACTTTTTTGATATCATTTACATAATTTGCTATATGCCTCTTCCTAGGTGGTTCTCCCATGGCCTCAGTACTGTGTACTTTTGACAGTCAATTAACAGATGTCACTCATCAAGTTCCAGGAACAAGGCAGACTGTGCCAGGCCTCCACTTACATACTTACATAGTATACTTACATAGTTACATAGCTGAAAAGAGACTTACGTCCATCAAGTTCAGCCTTCCTCACATATGTTTTTGCTGTTGATCCAAAAGAAGGCAAAAACCCAATCTGAAGCCATCCAATTTTGCAAGAAACTAGGAAAAAATTCCTTCTTGACCCCAAAATAGTCAGATTTCTCCTTGGATCAAGCAGCTATTACCCCACTAATTAGAAATTATATCCCTCTATGTTATGTTTTTGCAAGTATTTATCCAACTTGCTGCTGTTGATCTCCTTAAAAGAAGACCATACACCAGACACCATAACCACTTAATCTTAATGATCTTATATTTCAGTGTTAAACAATTTTTAAAGGGTTTGACACATAAGTAGTGTCCCTGGGAGCCTGTCTAGTGCCTCTCATGTGCTCTACTGCAGAACCAAAAGCTCGAGGGACCACAGGAACAGGAAAAAAGTTTAACACTAGAAGGTAAGAAGGCCACCACATACTGCAAGCACAATGACCATTTCATTGAGATGAAATGGTTATGGTGCCTGGAGGGCTACTTTAACAACTGAAAGGGCCAGCCCACTGTGCATTTGCTCAGTATATAATGATCAGTTATTTCCTCAAAGCAACGTGCTGTTTAGTGAGTTAACTGCGAGCAAATATTTTAAAACTTTTATTTGTTCATGTTGGTGGAGTGAGAGTAAACTTCATACACATTACCAGTTTAATTAGAAAAAAATAAATGTCTTTTTTACAACATTAAATATAATATAAAATAAAGAAACAATAACAACTCTGGAAATGTTACACTTAATGCCAACAATTAGAATCAACTCAAGACTTAAAATGTAAGATGACATCTATCAGGATAATTTACTAGAGTGAGAATTAAATTCAAGTAAAAATGTAAATTCAAGTAAACTTTAAATTTGAGGCCAAAGTAGTTGAAAGCATTGCTGGCTTTGAATTTGAAATTCACTTTGTATTCTCTCTTTATTGAATAGCCCTGTATGTGTAGTCAATTCGTTCATTCTAATGAAACCATGATATTTACTTTCGTATAGTACAATAAAAATATTTATTTGTTTTTTCCTGTCATTATATTACAAATAAAAAATATATAATTATGCAGTTTTTGCACGGCATATATAATTTGATATTGCACAATTAAACAATCAAGACAAAATTTGGGAAAATTAAGGTTTTGTCGACCTTATCACATTTTCATATTTGTATTGTTTTTTTATTTTTATTTTTTCTTCCTAGTTTAATTACAATTCAATAAGGGCTTGAATCTTTCTCCAGACTTCCCTTTGCTCAACTACACACTATACAAAACGTGTTACTCTCATGTGCTTTAACACCTTGCATGCTTACTAATGCTGAACATCTACGCTTCCTGTATCTTTCTGGTTGGCTTCTATTCTCACAGTCATGGCTTGGTGATTGAGGAATTGACCAAGCATCTAGATTACACTTTGTCTACAATTGTAGCTCCATACAATGCCAGGTCCAGTACTGGGTCAGAGCAGGATTAACCATAAGGCCGCCTATGGCCCAGGAGTTAGAGAGGAAACCCAGAATGAATTTGCTGGGTCCTATTAACCATGGCTATGTGAGTAGTGAAGGGGAGGGGCACAGGACCAAACTGGTAACATGCCTAGGGCCCTGTGGGATCTTTACCCAGCTCTTCACTAAGTTCAAGCTTAGATGTATAATGTCATCCTTCCCCGGACTTGATATGACTTCCTGGCTTCAAACAAGTACAATCCGTGAATAAAAGTAGGCACTAATTTTAGGCACTAATCCTAAAAGTATACATTGCAATTTATATACTGTTTCAGGAGGTGAGGTCTCGATCCCGCTAACATGGTGTCGCAATTAGATGTGATGACGCATTTTGCCATATAGACGGTGTTACGATTGCCTCCGGTCTAGCAGGAGGTTGGATTACTTGGATGTCCTGGTTCCTGAAGTTGGAAAGCTGCTTCAATCGGTAGAAACCTGTAAGTGTAGAATATCCCACTAGCTATGATAAAGCTAGGCTTCCCGGTTCTCTACAACATGAGTCAAGGCTGAGAGTTGAGGGTAAAACAAACTGGCTTTAATGGCACACAGGCATGGCAATTTATGCAAGTCCCCAGGTCCAGGGACAGCCCCCTTTGGACCTGATGGAATACAGGTACAACACAAGGATTCGACCAATCACATTACACTGTATCATTCAAACTAGTACCCGCCCAGCTTGGAGATAATGAGTCCAACAGTTATACAATCCGTTATCTCCAAGCGCCCAAAATACCATGCTTTATTTTGTCATAGAAAACAGCATAAAAATATATAACTTCAAAATTTTGATGAGAATACAGCTCATTCAACTATTCATTCTGTAGCTCAGATCTGAGCGCCTCAGGTATACAAATTGCGCTCAGATCCCACAAACAGATGGTTTCTGTCATACAAAGTCTCATTCGTTGCTTTTATCCCGAGCTCGTGATGGCGGCCATGTTTTAATGTCGGTCAATGGACAGCGAGACCTCGACCTAAAACTCATGGAGCGAGGGTCGGCTACATATTTGCCCGAACCCCCGCTCTCAGTATGGTTGTCCCAGCCATTCGGGAAACGAACGGAGACCGCCTGGAAGGGGGTACTTAACCTGCTGTTAACCACAAAATCAACATTCTAATTGAGGCCACACGCCAGGATGTAGGTGGTCCTTGTTCATGAGTCTTTTGGTAGTTTTCAGTTTGGGGAAATGTACATGAACGTGGATGCCCTGCGACCATCAAATAGGCTGTGGTTAACCGCAGACCACAGCTCCTTTGGTGGTTAATTAGAGGCACGTTCCGCTTGTAGGGTGGTTGGTTGTTCGGTACTTTCAAAGGTGACCGGGGTTAAGTGGCGGCACCGCCAAGGGCTGACTGTTCCGTCGTTCGTATACACGAATGCGTAGATATAACTGTTCGTGGAATGGGTTCGTACAGTCTGGATACCGAACAGAGTATTGGATGAACAAAAAGGGGTTACTTCTATAACAGTTTGGAGGGTTCTTGTAACAGACGGCTTCATCGGATCTGCCAGTTCAAAATCTGCAGCGACACCCGAGTACCGAAGTAACCAGGGAGCCAGCCAAGATACTTTTGCACTGTTAAGTACTTTAATGCTTTGGAATTTACACTAAAATATTTTTTGTTTGTCTTAACCCCTTAAGGACCAAACTTCTGGAATAAAAGGGAATCATGACATGTCACACATGTCATGTGTCCTTAAGGGGTTAAAGGCACAGTGCACATTATAACATAACAATGAGTGTATGAAAGAACTATTTGCACTTTATAGGTGATGGTTTTATTTGAGTTTTTATATTGATCCTATATTTGATAAAAATGTAAGAGAAAAAAAAATATTTTTAGTGCCCTTGTTCACTTGTTCATATTACTAGGACAGGGTTATGCACTCCAGATGTTCTGCACTACATCTCCCATAATGCTCTTAGAGCCATAATGCTGGAAAAGAGTGCTGAAGTTTCTTTATCCATGGTCTAGGACAGGCATAGGCAACCTTCGGCACTGCAGATGTTTTGGACTACACCTCCCATGATGCTTTGCCAGCATTATGGGTGTAACAGCATTATGGAGGATGTAGTCCACAACATCTGGAGTGCTGAAGTTTCTTTATCCATGGTCTAGGAGGTCAGGACTTCCTTGCCCAACCTTCCTCTATTACAAAATCGCATGTTATCTAGCATTGCTCCAACAGAGTTCTAAAGGAGAAGCACTTTATAGGCTTCCCAGGTTTTACTCTAATAATTATTCAATGCTTTCCTATGGGGATTCCGGTGACCCTGGAAGTCCTCATGAATAGCGTGAGGATGTCCAACGTCAGTTAGGCAACCAAAAGTCGCCTATCCACCCTGAAGTCCCTCTAGTGGCTGTCTGGCAGACAGCCACTAGAGGAGGAGTTAACCCTAGCAGGTAAGTATTGCAGTTTATAAAACTGGGTGCCTACAGTGTCCCTGTAACGTCAGGGGGATGACTGCTGGCATCTTTGTGTTATCTCTTTGTGGTATGACATTGATCACATTCTCTTACCATTGTTCCTGATCAAATGTCAGTAATATATAACAAATCTTCAAATGTTTCCTTATCACTGCTAACTGTTCCACCCTCTCCAGTTCCACAAGGTTCACCAATATCTGCCCATGTATTCTCTATATTGCTTATCCATTTAGCCCTTAAACATTGAAGATGAATTCCTTTCCCAGTATGAATTCAGGAATGCATACTCTTTGCACCACTGAACATAAGATAACACAGAAATCTACTCCCATCAGCATGTACAGAAATACAGGCGCCTCTTCTTACTACGAACGTGAAAGATAAAAAGGTTTATTTATCACAGTCCCCACTAACTAGTGACCCATTAATGGCTGTGAAGAAGTAAGTTCAGATTGCAGCAGGTGTTTGACTGTTGTAAGAGCCAAACACATTTATCATGCCATCTGAGTTTATTCATATAGCTACCGGCCCGGCATGCACCGTCAGGCAGCAATATGCTAACAGACCTGTTTTTCTGGAGTACATTCATTTCTTTCTAATTGCATACATATAATTTATGGACAAACATATTTTGGGGACTATACACTAAGCAGTGATCTGTGATGAGCTGTAAACATTAGGTTTTAATAGCAATGCAGCAATGAAAAAACAAAAGAAACTCCAAGTTGAATAAAAATAAGTTTTGGTTTTTTTTTGTTCTTTTTTTACAACTCTGCTAGTTTGGCAAGAATATATTATTCTTTCGTATGAGATATTTTGTCTTTTAGCTGAAAACAACAAGGTGAATTGTTAGTGTAGGACTCATCACAGAGGTTTTTCCTTAACATTAGCATTTTGGGATAGTGTACAGATAACTTTTTTAGTTTTTTTGTCATTTTTTTTTCTCATGTATTTAGGCTACTAAATACCATAGCCATTGCTGCCTCCCAAGAATAGGGAGAGATTGAGCAAAAGGATGTTTTCACTTTGAAAGTCACACCAAATAATTATTTAATAAATAGATAACTGTATTGTATTACCGAGTACTATGATTGAAGGGATGTTCCAAGCACCACAACCACTACAGCTGGCTGATAATATTCCCACGAGTATCCTGGCACAGTCACACTGTAACCTGTCAAATAATTTTAGCATTGTTTGACACTTATCTGGATCTTCTTGCGCTGTAGAAGTCAGAAGTAAATTCTGCGCAAGATAGCAGGACGCACAACTGTCACGCTTTTGGTGGGACAGTCCTTATTTTGTGGGTCCTGTCCTGTCCAGATTTAGTATTCCAGTGTCTTGCATCTGGAGACATCAGGGAACAGCCTCAGAACAACTCAGCACAAACACATCATATGAAGTGTTTGCACTGTGTGGTGGACTCTAGGACCATGCAGAAAGCTCTGTTGCTGAATAATGCCAGGTTGAGAAACCACTTTACATGCTGGCCCATTAAGGACATCGCTACAAGTTGTGTCACTGGCAATGTCCCCCTTAGTCCGCTTGTTCCAATATCATACCTCCCAATGTGTAAATAGAAACCACTGGGGCCCTAGTGCGAAAATTGCCCTGGGCCATACTTCTACCCTTCCCCCAGCCCCTCCATGTGTCATATTCACGCCCCCTTAACCCCTCCATGTGTTTCATTCACGCCCTACAGGGTGAGTATGACAGAATTGGAGGGGTTAATGCAATAGGGTGAAAGGGGGCGAGTGTGACAGAGTAATGGAGAATGAGTATGACAATGCTAGAAAAGGTGAGTGTGATAGGGTGAACATGGCAGAGTGATGGGAAGTGAGTATGACATGGGTGAGTGACGGGATTGGGGGAGTTATTTTAAGTGTAGCAGGGTGAATGGGGGTGAAATTGTGTGTGTTGGGGTTACAGTTATACAGACACACATGCAGATAAACAGACAAACACACACTGACATACATGCAGATACACACCATATAATACATACAGATACATACACGGACACACATGCAGATACACAGACACACATTCAGATACAGTGTGACACCCATACAGTTACTAACAGTGACACACATACAGATACAGATATGCAGACACTGACATAGAGATATGCAGACATACAGATACAAACATAAACACACATGCAGACATACACACACACACATACAGAGACACACACAGACACACACACACACACATACAGGCACACATACATACAGATACACATACATACATACACACACATACAAACACACACACACACACACACACACATGCATACATACAGACACACACATACAAACACACATACATACATACATACATAGACACATACAAACAAACACACATGCATACATACAGACATACATAACCCCCCACACACACACACATACAGGCACATACATACAAACACACACACACATACATGCAGACACACATACATAAACACACACACATACATAATGTTTTAGTCACCCTCCTGTTTACTACCTTTCTAGGGCAGGAGGCAGTCTTTCCCTGGGGTCAAGTGGCAGGCAGGCTCCAACTGAGAGGAGTCAGAGTGGGAACTCTGACTCCCTCCTCTTCTTCCTCCTCCCGATGGGCCCCTTCAATGCAGCCCGAGCGGTTGTACCATGCATGCCGAGGCCGCATTACATGACCGGTGGGCACCTCGGTCAGAGGGGTCCGCAGGGCAGCCAGGCCCCCTAGAGTGATGGGCCCGGTCGCAGCTGTGACCCCTGCGACCACGGTAGTTCTGCTCCACTGTGCCACTGCTATGTTGGGAGGTATGAGATAGGAACTAATTCATTGGCTGAGAGATCCTGTTTTGCACACAAGTTGGTTTTTACAGTTAACCATTTCAGTTGGCTGTGCTTGTTATGGCACTTGACCCTTTAATTATACAAACATTTTAAGCACTTAATGGATAAGATAAACTCAACAGTGCATTGCATTGACCAAATAAATAAATGGTAGCCTAAACTGGAAGCTTCTGCATTGACCATAATAAAAGCCTAAACAGTATGAGTTTCTATTGCCTTGGACAAAAGCAACAAGACCTTGACAGGGTAAAGCGGGAGTTGAGACAGATGGGCTTTAGACCAAGGTTTCAATCTTAGATTGTAATTGAAACTGTTGGATGTACTTTAGATCAGTGGTGAGCAATCTCTCCATCTCCTCTTGCATATTTCCTTTACCCTTCAAGCATGCACCCCTGATTCTAAAAAAGTCAAACTTTTACCCTAACTTTGTTTTCAACTACCTCCCTATCTCACTACTACAGTTTGCTTCCAATATCCTTGAGAAAGTTTTATACACTAGTGTGACCGACTCACTTGTATCCAACTCTCTGCTTGACCCACTTCATTGATTCTTCATTGATTGGATTCTGCATTCATTACTCAAAACAGCCCTGAAAAAAGTAACCAATGATGTAATTGCTGCTACATGCAGTGGTCACTACTCTCGTCTAATTCTCGTTGACTTTTCTGCTGCTTTCGACACTATTGATCATCAACCAGGTAATCTCATCCTCCGCAATATCAATCTAAAAACTCTGCTCTCTCCTGTTCCCTGCAACGCTTCTCTGTTGGTGTTGGCCAAGATTGTGTCCTTTATCCCCAACTTTTCTCAATTTATGCTGCCTCCCTTGGTAAACTTATCAGCAACTTTGGCTTCCAATATCACTACTATGCGTATGACATGCACATCTATATATTCTCTCTGTGCATCTTTATTCATATCTCTGTCCGTCTCTTTGCTATTTCTAACTTGATGACTGCTCGCTTACTTAAATTTCACCTGTCCAAAACAGAACATCTTG